AAAAAATCTAATATTTTTAGATGGCGGAACAGCCCCATGGAAGACGTTTGCTTTTTATATTGGGGAAAGTGTGAAAGTTCTGCTGACATGATAGTAAAATTTAATTGAACAGTTTTCAAAACCAGTTCATTTTTTTTCTTGAAGTGTTAGCTTGTAATACTATAAATTATTACATGTACAAAAAGTATAGCCAACACAGGAATATGGGGGACTGCTTTGCAGTGGCTAGTCTCCTTTCTCCATGGTCAGGGACCAGAGGGTGGTGCTTGGGGAGAGGGTTTCTCTGTGATACCTCTTGGTGTGCAGTATCCCTCAGTATCCTCTACCCGTTGTTATGTAGCATCTATATACACTCTCTCGCCCATCTGATCTGGGGGTTTGGGCTGGGTTGTCACCAGTACGCTGATGACATCCAGCTATATCTGCTGATGGATGGCTGGATGGACTCCGCCTTAGATATTTTGGCCAGGGCATTGGAGGCTTTGGTTGGTTAGTTACAGCAGAGTCGACTGAAGCTAAATCCATTGAAGATGGAGGTCCTGTGCCTGAGCCATTGGGGGGGAATCGGGGATCTGACTCCCAACCCTTGATGAAGGGGATCTGACTCCCAACCCTTTGACACTAACTGTGAGGAGCTTAGAAGTGATCCTGGATTCCTCATTGTCAATGGAGGCCCAGGTCACTCCTGTTGCCAGATCAGCTTTTTATCATCTTCGGCTAGTCCAGCATCTCATCCCCTATCTCTCCTCCAATGACCTAGCCACAGTGATCCACGCAATTGTCACTTCCAGGATGTAACTCACCGTATCCGAGGCTGCCCTTGAATTTGATCTGGAAACTTCAGCTGGTGCAAAATGCAGCAGCGCACCTCCTGGCTGGGATGACTCTGCAGGCGCATATACAGCCAAGTGCTTTGCCAGCTGCATTGACTTCCACTTGAGTACTGGATCAAGTTCAAGGTGATGGTACTAGCCTTTAACGCCCTATGCGGTCTGGGGCCGACATAACTGTGGGACCACCTCTCCCAGTATGTTCCCCAGAGAGCCTTATGTTCGGCTGACCAACACCTGCTGGTAATCCCTGGCCCAAAAGACATCCATTTATCCTCAACCAGAGCCTTTTTGGCTTTGGCTCCAGCCTGGTGGAACATACTCCCTAGTGAGATCGGAGCCCTGCAGGACTTAGTACAGTTCCACAGGGCCTGTAAAATGGAATTGTTCTGCCAGGCCGTTTGTTGAGGCTATGGATGTCAAATTACATCAGCCTCCCCTGCCCTGCTCCACCTCACCTTATCTTGTGCTGTGCACTTTAATTGTTCCATCGGTGAACGTTTTACCCCACCTTCTGGTAGGTCAGCCCTTGGGCACATATACAGTATACACCATGGAGCTTGCCAACATTTACTTTATTGTGGGTTTTATAGTTTTTAAATCGTATGCATTATGTCTTTTAACTGTTTAGCCACTTGTTGTGACCCACCCTGAGCCCACTTGCAGGGGAGGGCAGGGTAGAAATCTCAAAAACAAACAAGTAAATACCTGAAATAGGAAGTGCTCTCTATAACAAAATGGCCTGTCGCTATCACCTGACAAATATGGCATACTTGCATCATGGTCTTCACAGTAATTAATTTGAACAGTAGATAATACATAGCACTTAGCTTTCAAGGTTCGTATTTTCATCTGTTTGGATTAGCAAAGCCTTTTCCAAAGTTGTTTTCTGGCAGAGCAATACTATGTAACTGCACAGTCAGTTACAAATGGCATCCCTTAACTAGGTTTAGTGGTAGTGCTATCTGCCTATCAGGCCCTTTTTGACGTTGAGTAGGACAGGGCATGAAAGTTTGTTTAGAAAAAAATCCTTGCAATTTCTTCATGCTGAGCATTGAGCATTGCATTCTCTAATAGGTGCTTGGTATAATTAAGACAATGGAAGTGGGGATGGAGGATACTCTTACCGTATCTTCTTCGCTCTTTCTCTTACAAATTTGAAAGTAGTATAGGTTGCTTTAATAGTGTGGCACAATTATGATTTTGCATATGATATGTGCGGGGGGGGGAGAGAATGTGCACTGAAATATTTAGCCTGTAGTAGGCACCATAAATTTTAAATATTGTTTTGATTTTCCACAGCCAGGTGTGAACAGCATGGATTCTCAAGTTGGTATGTATAAACAATTACTGTTTTGAATAGTTGTATTCAGAAAAGGTACAAGACTAAAGAGATTTTTCTAGTCACATTATGAGTTAAAATTAATTTAGATGTCTTACAGGAATGTGAAACTATTCCTTTATTAGAAAAGAATCTCACATTTAAAAAATCTTGTGAATTAGCCTTCCTTCTGCAGCACTTCTTAGTTTCTTTCTCATATAGGTTTTGTAGTAGCAGTGCACACTCTGGCATAGCAGTCTTGAATCTTTCCATATCCAAAGCGCCTCCTCATTAATCCACAGGTGGCAGAATGGTACTTGCTGAGATGCAAGTCATGTGACATCACAAGCATACAGGTCCTTCCAGAAAGCACACAAAAAGCTATAAAAAAAAATTATGACCTAGCAGGTGGGGTTCCCTAACTCATCTGAGGATCGTGACAGATGGGCTTAAGAACTCTGCCCTAGCAGAACCAAATGATTTTTTTCTCTCCCCAGAGTGGCATTCAGTTTAGTGATTCTTGCATGAAAAGCTGAAGATTCCTCAAAGTGTCAAAGTTGCTTAATTTTTTTAGAGAATTTTCTTTAGATTCTTATCTTTTAGTTCAGAATCTGAGTAGCTGTTCTGGAGAAGTTATTGTCTCAATTAGTACTTGAGTAACTAGAAAATCTCTAAAAATACTTGAAATATTCATTGCTCTGGTAGAATAAAAGGGTATTGTAAGGTGATGCAGCTAGATCTGTTCCTTTTACAAGAATATAAATCCATAATATAGTCTTCTCAAAATAATTACTTCCAAGAATCTTGTGAGTTATAACATATAGATATCAGTATATTCTCAAGGACTAAAAGCCATTTGCACTACATTAAAGGAGGTACAACTGGATCTCTTTAGCTATGTTATCTAAAGTTTGGTTTTTCATATTTTGTAGGTTTAGCACCCCCTGGAACTCAGGTAAGGAAGTAGCTTTTTTGTTTTGGTAATTTCTTGTTTCTGAAATGTTGGCCATTTCCTTCTCTGTATGTGTAATGGGGTGGAGAATATGCTTTCTCACACTTCACCTACCAGGAGTGCTTAGAGAATTTCTGTATTTTGAAGCCATGGGAAAAGAACTGACCTTGTCCCATTTTTTTACCCAGAGGAAAAACGGAAATTCAAGGGAAATTGAAATATATACCTTATTTTCTTAACAAAGCTAAAATTATTATAATGCATTAATAACAAAATTCATAGTTTAATAATATCAATGTGTACAATTTTACATATTTATGGAATTTTAAGTACATTAGTTTCTACCACCAAAATTGCAAAGATACCTAATACTTGAGGGGAAGAGAAGGAGCTGCAAACTGCTGCATCCAATGCTATTTCATCACAATTTTAATATTTGCCACCTGAGGTATGTAAAAGCTGAAATTAGAAAACAAATTTCTATAGTAAACAAAAAAGGGGTGTTTGAAACAATTGAATAGACCCAAAGTAGAACACCAGCATATTTAAGTATCAACTTAAACTCTGAAAACACTGATCAAACACAATATAGCATATTATTTGTTACCAGAATTATTCACGTTTCAGTAAGCGTTCTGTTTAAAATATGTTGTATATACTTACAGCCTACATAGGAATTATTGTAATCTAAATGCTGTTGATTGTTTTAAAGAAAAATCTTCATACTGTACATTCACAGTAAGTAAAAGCTTGTATTTTACTCATTCAAAAAGAGAAATAAGTTTTGTTTCCCCCCCCCGGTACTCCTCCATATTTCCCAACTTTTCCATTCAAAAAATTGAAAAAAATGTCCAGGGAGCACTTCTTCTGAATTTTTCTGTTTTTTTCCCTTGAGTTTTCACATCTCTAGGAATGACTGCCCCCCCTCCAATACTACATGGCATCCATATGTGGGCATAACGTTTTAATAGTGGCTGCGCACATAAATTCCTTGGCATAGGCCAAATCTGCATGGTTGGTTGTTGGATTATGCTTGCCTTATCAGGTCAGGCTTATGTTACATTGTGTGTGTGCATCTGGTGCAACCATTGGAAAATAAATACAGTAGGCATTCAATGTAGCAATTTTTAGGTTTGAATTTAAGATGTTGATTTAAAAATAAAATTGGAATATTGTTCATCTTGTTCTTACTTATTGAGTGCTGTATGTTTGTCTACTTTGTATGTCATCTGTGGAAGTTCTAAACCTTTTGGTCATGCTTCAGCCAAAATTAAGCAGCCCAGAATTCCATTGGTCTTGAAAGAATTAACTACTTAAATTGTTCCCTCTGTAATCCATGTGGGTGCTTAATTTTGGCTAGATTGTGCTTTTGTATTTGGAGCAGAATTTAAAGCCCCCTAATGTATTTTTTTTAATTTCAGATTTTTCTGCAAACCTGGGGGATCCCCAAGTTTGCAGGAAAACCTATTAAGTGTGGCCCCAAACTTTGGATTTAGATATCCACATGGGTGGGGCACATGTCACTATTAAATATGCAGATTGGTGAAGAACTAGAAGTACATTATTTTGTTGCATGATATAAGGATATTAGACCGATTCAGCTGACTCTCCCATGAGGAGGTTGACAGGACCTGGGCAGCTGTAAAGGCCACCTCATGCCTCATGGATCCTTGCCCACCTGGGCTTGTTAAAGACTGTGGAGATGAGATCCAGATTCCCCTGGGGAAATTATCAACCTGTCCCTAACATCAGGGACATTCCCAGGGTGTCTGAAACAGACTGTGGTGAGGCCGCTTCTGAGAAAACCATCTCTAGGAACCCAGCTACCACCCAGTATCGAACTTACAGTTCCTGGGTAAGGTAGTTCAGAGGATGGTAGCTGAGCAGCTCCAGGGATTCCTCCATCCTGGATCGATTCCAGTCTGGTTTCCACCCTGGCCATGGTTTTGAGACTGTGCTGGTCACCCTCACAAACTACCTCTGGAGGCATCTGGATTGAGGCAGGTCAATGCTGCTGTTGCTACTTGATCTAACGGCAGCATTCGACATGGTCAGTTATGACCTATTGACCCACTGGCTTGCTGACATGGGGAAACAGGGGACTGCTTTACAGTGGCTGTCCTTTCTCCATGGTCGGAGGAAAGAGGGTGGCATTTAGGGATAGGGTGTCTCCATGTTACCCCTTGATATGCAGCATCCCGCAAGGGGTGATCCTTTCCCTCATGTTATTTAAAATCTGTATGTGCCCCCACGCCCAGTTAATCTGGGGGTTTGGGCTGGGTTGTCATCAGTATGCTGACAACACCCAGCTGTATCTGCTGATGGACAGCCAGCCTGACTCCGCCCCAGAAAATCTGGCCAGGGTTTTGGGGGCCGTGGCTGTTTGGTTGCAATAGAGCTGGCTGAAATGGGATCCAGCGAAGACAGAGGTCCTGTACCTAAGACATGGGGGTATAGGTTTGGGAATCTGACTCCCAGCCATTGGTGGGGCACCATTGGTGCTGACCCCAATGGTGAGGAGCTTAGGAGTGACAGCTTTCACTGACAGCTTTCAAGAAGAGGCTGGACGAATATTTGTCAGAGGTGCTTTAAGCTGGTCCTGCATTGGGCGGGGGGTTGGACTAGATGGTCTGTGTGGCCCCTTCCAGCTCTATGATTCTGTGATTCTGGATGCCTACCTTTCATCTTCGACTGGTCAGGCAGTTGGTTCCTTACCTCTCTCCCCATGACCTCACAACAGTGATCCATGTAATGGTCATTTCCAGGTTAGATTACTGCAACTCGCTCTGTGCGGGCCTACCCTTGAGTCTGATCCGGAAGCTTCAGCTGGTACAAAATACAGTGGCACGCCTGCTGACTGGGATGACTATGCGGGACGCACGTTCAGCCAGTGCTGCACCAACTGCCAGTTGAGTACTAGATCAGATTCAAGGTTATGGTACTAATCTTCAAGGCCCTGTGCAGCCAGGGACGAGCATATCTACAGGACAGTCTCTCCCTATACATGCCCCAGAGAGCCTTGCGTTCATCTGAACAGCACCGCTTGGTAGTCCCTGGCCCGAAGGACATCCGCCTTGCCTCGACTAGCACCAGGGCTTTTTCAGCCCTGGCTCCTGCCTGGTGGAACATGCTCCCAATAGAGATCAGGGCCCTGCAGGATTTATTACAATTCCACAAGGCCTGCAAAACAAAGCTGTTCCGCCAGCCTTCCCTGCTCAACCTTACCAGTCTGCTTAATTTGCACCATCCGCCTAGGGCACTGCCTATACTAACTGGTGCCTGAACCAGCTGATTCTTGCTTTGTGAGATATGTGCCCTCTCTGGCACTCCTGCAGCAATTACTGTAGTCAGAACTGTTACGCTGCCATCTGGGATTTTTTTAAACTGATTTTTCTCTCTAAGTGATAGAGTGGAGGGCCATGAAAAGTGGGGAAGTTATTACTGAAAATATTAATTTTGCTATTTTTGAACACTGTTGCTTGGATCCTATTTAGTTCAACTGGAGCGGGGCTCAAAGAAGCAAACTTTCTAACCTCCCCCCTATAGCTACAGCCTGTTGTGACCCTAACTGTTTTATGGACCTCTGGAGTAGAACGAAGTGGTGGTGGTGTGCCGTTAAAAGGGGAGACAGTTTTCCCATATGGAGTTGTGAGGAAAGCACTATATTGTGTCTATCTTGGACAATATTGAATTGTGTATCGTTAAAGTTAGGGCACCTGAAGTATATCAGAATAAAATATAATGCTGGTTCTCTGATTAGCACAGTAGCTGTATATCATGTTGCACCTCAGAATTAAAGGAATTTACTTCTTTGAAATATGCCAAGGATACTATACAGTCACTTTCTTTAAGCAAAGACTGTTTTAAGTTAAGCATAGCAACGTGGGAAGAAAGTGTTAAAAAGGAGCCAAGTACTGTTGTCTACTGGAATACACTGTTACCCTAAAAATACCTTCAGCAACTGAGTTTTAATTAGCTACCACTTGATTGTTGAGTAGTCCCTTTAGTGTGTCAGGGTTTTTAAAAATTCTTTCCTCAGAGTTAGATATTTACAGAGAGTGGTCTTGCAAAGACTCAGTGTCACATGTAAAGATGGGCCAATGTGCACAGCAGATAGTCACATGCATAGATTTAATTTGTGCTGTCAGTGCTTCCTGGTTTTAAGAGTTCACAGGCAAACTTGGGCTTATACATACGTGCATCTGTGCAAACTTGTTTTCACCTAATGGATGTCAGGCCTGTACAGCAGCTAAGGGTTCAGTTGAATGCTGCCCAGCACCATGGTAGCACCCTCCCCGTTTCCCCAGCCCCTAGAGCCAGTAGGTGCCTGGTTTAGGCAAACTCCCTTCATCAGTAGATGCCTGCACAGTGCTTGAAACTCTTTCTTACCAAACTCATTCTTTCAAAAATTGTAGTTATTTGTTTTGAGCATGAATCTCTATTTACCTCCCCTAGTCATGTGTAGGCTCCACACAGTTCTAAATAGGGTTAATAGGTTGCAAATGACAAGATTATGTTTTGTTTGTTGCTATCTGTATTTTGTTTGGAATCTTACAGCTTTACTTTAAAGATAGCATCCTAGTAGCCTTTCTTTATAAATGTACTTTTCTCTTTATTTAGCCTACACCCCCAGTAGTTTGTTCCCTTCCGCAACCTACCACAACTAACAATTCTGCTAATGAAGAGCCTTCCAAGCAGGTATTATGTTCTTTCCATTTTTAGCACTTTATAGTGTACCCCTTAGATGTGTTCCAGAGTTTCTTCATATGGTGCCTGCTTTTTCTAGAAATCAGTATGGTCAGAGCATAAATCACCAGATGGAAGAACGTACTACTATAATAATGACACGAAACAATCTACGTGGGAAAAGCCAGATGATCTTAAAACACCCGCTGAGGTAAACAAGCTAAAAAATATAACTGGTAAAAAAATTTTAGGGTTGAGTAGTGTTGCATGATGGCATGATGTTTGGATGTGATTCAAAGAACATATGTAAGCAGAAGGCAGTTTTGCTTATGGGGGAATATATGGATAATTCTAACTACAGCTCTGGGTGCTGCATTGAATTGTGGGTCCACCAACCTTTAGGAGCAGCTGTGAAGGGAGGTGAAGATGGATGGAGTTGGAGTGAAAAGGACAGCCTGGAAAAGTTCAATTGGCATGTACAGAACCTGAAAAAAGTACTTTTTTATTTTAGGTAGGGCATAAATACAGTTTTGGAATTAGGATCTGGGTTTTGGGGGGGAGATTCTGGAATGATTCATGGGGGGTGCTGTTTTTCAACCAAATCACACCAAAATTTGCAGGGAGTCTAGTACTGCCTGTCCACTAATGGCTCCCCCTCAAGTTTCAAGCAAATTGGACCAAGGATCCTTGAACAAGCTACTCCCAGCCATCCTACTTGTCTCCATTGTTTCCTATGAAGAAAAAATTCCATGCTTTCTCCAGAGGAGAGCCAATAGCCAAACACACAGGAGTAAGCAACCACTGACTAAAAGCCTTCCAATGCAAATGGGAAGCAAGAAGCCCAACAGAACCAGTGTCAAACCATAGAATCTAGGCCAAACTGACTAAAGCAAGGGATACTGTTGAAAGCCCATCAGCACCAATGCCAAACCACAGAAGCCAAGCAGAATGCTGGGGCAGTGTTGCAAGTCCAACAATCAGTATCTAATCAAAGAATCCAGGCAAAACCAACCTGACAAGCCAGTACCAAGACAACCAGCCAGACCTAGCAAGACAGACACACACATACTAACTTCACTTCCCTGAGGAAGGCTTCAGAAAGTGAGAGAGGGTTTGTTTGAGGCACCTCCCTGTAGTGCACGGCCTATACCTTCACTGTTTCACAGGAAGAGCCTCAGGAGCTGTGGCTGCCCTCCATCACTGGCTCTCTTCTGTTTCCTCCCACCTCTAAAGAAGAAACACAATGCCAGCAGCATGCATGAGCTTCATTTTAGGTGCTTCTGTGGGTTCTGCTTGTTTTGATTTGCATACTGGTGTTTGTTTTCCTAAGATCTCTTCATGTTCCAAAGATATTTGTGGATTTTTGAGAGTAGCAAGAACAACATTTTTGGCACCATATCTCTGCACCCCCCCCCCCCCCCCCGCATAGAATTGTGCCAAGAGGTGCTGGGTTTCTGTTAAGGGTGTTTTTGAAAAACATTCCAGATACAATTTGGAATTTGGATTTATATAGTGCTTCTCAGTCACAGAAGAGATGTTGGCTGTCATGTACTCCTTGCCTCCTACTACCTTGTCCTACTACCTTGGCGTGGAGCAAAGCCTGGTTATAGCTAGCCTGGTGGCCTCTCTCACCTTGCTTAGTGCTAGTTATCCCACCCCCACCCAGAACATTATTGGTTTGCCACCAGTGCACAGTCAGTGAGAGTTACATGTGTTGTGACTGAGGACAGGTCCAGACTTCAGATACGAAGTGCACAGATCTATGAGCATAGGACAGATGTGTTTTCATGTCTTCTTGGTCAGCCCTATACCAGAAGGGAACCATGGTTCTCTTCAGCATGGTGTGAACAGGAATGGTGTACCAAGGATAGGAATCCATCCTCTTGGCTCATGGCCAGAAAGCTATGAGAGAATGGTGACTGGGCAGACAGTTAGAGCCCCCCAACATGTGATGCCATTTGTATGGAAGAGATGCCTCTTTCCCCCCTTTTTCCTGTTGCCCACAAGACCTGTTGGGGGGGGGAGATACACAAACAGGCCTGGGATCCTCAAAATGCTGGGTCTGGATATTCCTAATATTTCCAAAAATATTTGGGACCCAGATACCAGTATTGCTGAGAATCCTGAATATCATCGGGGTACCTGGATATACCCCAAAAATACCAATAACGTCGTTTTCAGGTAAATATTCAGACCAGGTGTATATCCCTTTACAGAACTCCATGCACACCCCTTGGATCCTGACCATGGTTTCTAATGACATTAACCTCACACTTTACTTATGTTTGTCAGATTCTTTGTATTATTTACAGGGGTGGAAAATAGTAAGATCAGTAAAAGTCAGTTTTTTTAAAGTCAGTATTTCTTTGATTTTTGTGAATGCAGTTTGTGTTTTTCCATTTTCATTACTGCATTTTTGGGGAAACATGATGACTTCCCAGTGAGAAGACAGATTGTTTTCAGTTTAAGTGTGAAGTACTTTAAGGACTTTGTTCCTAAGAGTAAAAGTGATTTGGTGAAATCTTCCACAAAGTATAGGAACATAATTAACCTCTTAAACCTCTTAGGTCAGTCTAAACAATAGCACACAAGGTAAACACACATTAACCCTATAATGACTGGATTTTAGACCTTGCAACACATATATTTCCAACAGAGTGCCCTAGGGAACTGTCCCTCTGAAAGGGACTTGTTGATAATCTCCCTTAGGGCATCTCGAAACCCATCATGGCCAGCTTTAATTAGCCATGATGGGCACAGCTCAAGGCAGCACATGGTAGGGCGTACAGTTAAGAGCAGTTTGTCAACTTCCTCCAGGCTGAGTGGACTGAAATTATCCATAACCTGACTAGAAGACGTGCATGGAGCCTCGAGTTCATTTACTGTCTCAACTGTGGCAGGGAGGTCATGGCGGAGCGACAGAACTTTATCGTAAAGGCCTCACAGCCAGTGTCCAATTCCCTAACATTTGGTCTGCCTTGTGGCAGAACAGTCATAGACTGAATTATTTTAAATAATTGGGCTGGGCATGAGCTCACAGACACAATTGTGGCCGCATAATACTCTCAGTGGCTTTGACTGCCATCTCATAGGATCTCATAAATGTCCTATAAGATGTTCTTGTGGCTTCATCACAGGCGCACCGCTACTGTGTCTCTAGCCATCTTAGCCTTCGCTTCATCAGCCACAACTCCTGGGTAAGCCAAGGAGCCAGCCTAGAGTAAGGGCGCAGAGGGCGTCGGGGAGCGATCTCATCGATGGCTACTGAGAGTCAGCTGTGCCAATCTTCCACAAACTCATCTAACGAGCCGCCAGGGGGCATTGGATCTCGCAGGGCCATTTGAAGCCACATAGAGTCCATTTGGCTTCGCGGGCAAGCTGCAATCTGCTCACTGCCCAAACAGGGTCAGGGTGAAACATTCAGATGGGTCTTCAGGGCATGATGGTCCGACCATGGCACTGCTGAGGCAGTGACCCGGTCCACTGTGACCCCTGCCACGAAGATCAGATCGAGCGTGTGTCCAGCCCAGTGAGTGGGAGTTGTTACATACTGGGAGAGTCCCAGCGCCACCACGGATGAGTGGGGGCCACATGGGGGGCCACATTATCCGCATGGACATTGAAATCACGCAGGACAATCAGTCTAGGGTGTTCCAATGCCCAACTTGACACAGCCTCCACCAGGGATGTCAGGCTGCTGGCCAGTTCTTTTTTCATCAAAAAACCAAAGATAAAGTAAAAGCAAAGACAAGTCTTACCTTACAGTAATTATGGTTTGTTGTCATAATTATTACTTTATGTTTGGGTTTTATTGTTTTTGCTGTTTTATTATCTGCAGTATGTGATTGTTTTAAGAAGGGAATCTTTTTTTGCCTTAAATTTTGTACAATAATGAAAACTGTCCTCTGTTCATAAAAAAATTCAATAAAAAGGTGTGCAATCCTTTTATCTGGGTCACATCTAGCTATGGGGATGGTGGAGGCCAGATAATAATAATTTTTAATGTAGTCCTAGTTTTACATTTAAAACGCTAGCTTATCAGTAGGCTGACATTAAATTGTTCAGTAATTTGTCAGTTTTTTGTCAGTATTTGGTCAGTATTTTTGGAACTTTGGTCAGTAAAATCAGTATTTTTGACCCTCTGACTAGTTTCCACCCGTATTGATAGCCAGCATTCTCAAAATAGTATTGTGATAACTTTATTTCTTCTTCAGCAAATGTTGTCGAAATGTCCATGGAAGGAATATAAATCTGATTCTGGAAAGCCTTACTATTACAATTCCCAAACAAAAGAGTCACGCTGGGCAAAACCTAAAGAACTCGAAGATCTTGAAGGTAATTTCCATGTATTCCTTTTTCTGTCTTGATTTAGAGTTACAACATGGTAATAGTGCAGTGAATAGTCCACAAATACTTCATGCCAATGGAATCAGTATTGGGCCAAAACAAAATTGACACTCTCACTGGGCTAAGACTCGTCTTCAGAAACAATGTTTTATACAACAAAAAAGAAAGGGGGAGAGAATTCTTGTCAGGGTGCAGCATCTAGAGATGTTTTTGAGTCGTCGTTCCCCCCTCCCAAGACTTTCACAGGCTTTTATGACCTAGAGCTTGAGTTTAGAAAACTATGATTTTCAGTCTCTTGTTTGTAATTACATTTTTAATGAGTTGTTTTGAATTACACTTGGATCATACCCAGGCATGGGACCAGATAGTCCCATAAAACAAATGTTGTTTGTAGTTTGAAAGTAGGGACTGGGGCACAGGTGATGAATGACAGTAGAAAAAATATTTTGGCTAACCAGGGTTTGATCCAATCAGATAAGATTGTTGAACATTAAAGGTTGCACTGGGATGTGGCACTCCCACCTTTTGGTTAATATTAGCTTATTTTATACATTAGTCGTAGACATCATAAACTGTCAGAACAATTGATATACTTTGCACCCAGAGCATTTTGATAAGTTTATTTTTTTTTCCTACAGCAATGATTAAAGCAGAAGAAAACAGGTATGTTTGAAAATACTTGACTTGAGGAAAATTACATGATTTCAATTTCAATTTATTACAGGTCTATATGACCGAAGTCTTGACCAGAAGAAAATGCAAAAGGGGGGTAAAATAGGTACATAAAATTAACATAACATATGACAAGGTGCATAATCACAATCACATAAAACCCAGGCTGAGCCCAGAGATTAAAAATTACCTAACTACACTTGGGGCGGAGCCAACTAACTAAAATCATCCGAAGATTAAAAATCGGTGTCGGTTTATTATCTTTTTTAAAAAAGCGTAATTTAACTTTATTACATTAATCATTTTAAATGTCTTGGTTTCCTTTTAAACTGAAGAATTGTTGAGTGTGCACATGCGTATGCAAGCATGCTCACGCGCATTGTACTGTGGGTGATTGTGTGATATAGAATTAGAACTCAGAAGGTGGATTGGTACATTTTCCCTTGAATGTCTTTTATTATTTATTTATTTACTTCATTTTATGCCCTAGTGTTCTTCTCAGTGGGAACCCAAAACAGCTCACGTTATTTTCCTTTCCTTATTTTTATTATCACAACAAGCGTGGGAGGTAGGTTAGGCTGAGTATGTGTGACTGGTGCAAGGTCACCCAGCAAGCTTCCATGGTGGAGCGTGGATTCAAATTTGGGTCTCCCAGTTCCCAAGGAAATAATGGGATTCTCCCCCCCCCAAAAAAAACATGGCTTGCTGCTGTGTGAACAGTCCTAAGAGAGTGTTTGGACTTGTGTTTCCTTTGTGTGATTTGTGTTAAACTTGGGTCTCCCAGATCCTGTTCCAATACTCTTTAACTACTACGCCATACTGGCTCTCCTTTTCTACCAATGGATGAGAATGTGTAAGTTCCTTTAGAAATATTTGCATAAAACCCCTTAAAATTTAGCAGTTTTGAAAACTTTGCAGTTATGTCATCTGTGTTTAAAAAGAAATAGGACACATTGGCCTTGTACAAGTGTTGCAAAGTCCACAAGCTCTAGTCATGCAAGAGTGATGAATCAGTTGCTGAAGAGGCCCATTTCTTTGCTGCTGCCCAATTCTCAGCAGCGGCTTTGGGGTGGCTGCTGTGGGAAGGAAGGTGCTAAAATGATTTTTGTGAGTCTAACACAGTTTCTGGTTTCTGTCATTACATTGTCTTGTGCTTGATAAGGAATGCTGAATGCACTTTCTGATTCAAAAGGCAGTAGTTTCTCTTATCTTCTGTGTGCAGAACCCTCTGTAGCTAATGAAGGTGAACTTTGTAATCTATGAAATTGTATGTTTTAAATTGTGGCTTCTGACCAATTTATGTGTTGTGGCCAGTAGCACCAAAGCCTGACTTGCCAGTTTATTAAGGTTGTATGATCAAAATCTGACTGAAAACTCTGCCTAACCCATGCCCCTCAGCCCAGCCTGGATTACTATTCTATTCCAATGTGGTTAGTAAAGAAAAAGAAGGTAGCAGGAGATTACCAGTTTCTGCAAGGTCTTCTTGATGTGCTGGATTTAATTAAGCCCTTGAGGAATTGTATAGTATCAGTATGGTCAAAGACTGTGTTCTGTTTCATTGACATTTTTCGGGGGATGAGGGGTAACAGAATTTAGTCATGCAATGCACACCCATAGCCCAGATAGGCTTTTCCCAAGGATATAATGGGATTCCCCCTCCCCCCCGGTAGAAACAAGTACATGCAAGCATGGTGCAACCCATGGCTTGCTGCTGTGTGAACAATCCTGGGGGGATTGTTTGGGCTCATGTGCTTCCTTTGTGTGATTAGAATTAAATGATTAAATGATCAGCTGATTAGATACTTCCATGGTGAATCATAGTTTGCTATGGTGTCTGAACAATGATGTACACTTTCCCTGCCAGTCAGGATTCCAAAATCTGACTTGGTCCTGGCTGGCAGGGAAAGCATAGACGGTAGTATGCCACTTTGGACATAACGGCAGTCTATTAGCTGCAAAAGTTGAAATTTCTAATTAACTGATGAAGAGCAATGGGGAAAAGGAAGCTCAGATGCCCAAAGATCCCCAGGGTTTATGAATGTACTAACAAAGCAAATGTGTACGGTGTGATGAATCTCCTGTTGATCCTCCGATTTACATTTGTTTTTCTTTATTTAGCGGTAAATCAGAAGACACAGTTTCCGCATCGTCTGCAGCTGTTGTTGCAGCAGGGGTTACAATTGCTGCTCCCACTGTTGCAGAAACTCCTGTGGCTGCACCAGCAGCCCCAGCTGCACCTGCTGTGGCAGCCCCTGAATCAGAACCCTCTGCTGTTCCTCCTGCTGTTGAAAATGAAAATGCAGTCAGTGCTGTAGCTGATGAGCAAGTGCAGCCCACTGCACCTGCTGTGCAGGAACAGACGGCCGAAGTTGTCACTAACTCCGTAGAAGAAATTCCTAAACAGGAACCCACAGAGTAAGTAGTATCTTGGTATTTTTGTCTAAGGGGACCCTTTATGCTAAAAGAAAAGAAAAGAAAAGAAAACAGAAAGGGTAGAAAGCATGTGAAAATGGCACATTTAAAAATCTGCAAGGGGAAAAAAATTGAAATTTCATATATTGATAATATCACAAATAGAAACCAAATTTTGAAGTAAGTTACTTTGTAGAGATTGCCACTGTTGAATGCTAACTTTATGTGCATTTTATGGATTCTCTAGAACATCATAAGGAACCCTGGGAAGTTAGTGGGGGAAAACAAGCACATTATAAAGGTGGAAAGGAAAGTACAGAAAGAGGAAATACAGAAAGAGAGGAAGGAAATAGCAAGGATACGTCCCCAAAGAGAGCCTCAATAAGTGTTCAGAAACTTTAATTATATGTAATGTTCCTTTTAGTAGACCTGCATTCCCAAGGGCTTGTGTAGCAGCTAAAGGGTAAAACCTTTAACCTAATTTAATTTGTCCTCCTTCTAAAAGTGTTTCTTGTAATAGATCACTCTGTTTGTGCAAATGCTCCCCTCTTGATTTCAGGGTGTTATCTCTTGGTTTCTTGAAAGGTGTTTTGTGGAACCATAAGTGAATGTGGTTTGATTTTGTCTTATCAAAATAAGTTGCCTTCTACATATAAGGTGTTAAAGAACCAGCTTTATTTTAACTGAACTGGATATATATTAGCAAAATAATCACAGTTTTAAGGGATGCAGTTGTATTTATAAGAAATGAGCAGTCTACCTAGGTTATCCTTGAACCTAGATGTAGCTCAATTTTTTTTCCCCTGTATTACCATTCGGGGGAGTCTTAGGGTTGGGGGTGGGGGAAGAGGGGCAGACTTTCAATATCATTATTTATGGCTCTCACCCCAGCGCCACATCTTGCTTAGGTAACTAACAATTATTTTCTTTTTCCATCTATAGTATTGTCCCCAAAAAAGACGAGGAGGAAGCCCAACCGGTTAAAAAAACTTATACATGGAATACAAAAGAAGAAGCTAAGCAAGCATTTAAAGAACTATTGAAAGAAAAGGTTTTTAAATTGAGTCAACTACTTTAAAATGTCAAGAGTTACACATTCCATACTTGCTTTGGGAGAAATGGCTGATTTTTGTAAGAAAGTCTGAAGAACAACATTCACAGTGAACTACTCATAGGCCAACTATGTTTGGCATAAGGTGTCATGCCTAAGTCTAGTTTTGTCTAAAAAAAATCAAGCATGGTGGAGGTGGTTGGTTTTGTTTTGTTTTTTTACCATGGCTTGAATTGAAGAGGGAAGACAAATGATTTATCATGAGAAAGGATCATCTTGATTGCGAGACAGTTGCAACAGAATTTGGGGGAAGGAGAGGAATTGTCTTGTCTAAAAACATTGATAATATCATTGTGCCTTGTGAATTGTCATTCTTTTTAAAAGAGTCTTTGTGACACTTCTTTACTAAGTGGAGTCGCACATTGCCGTTGTTGCTACAGAAATATTGTAGGATTGAAAGGTTACTATGTTACTGTCTTCTGAGTTGGCCACGCTTTTTAAAAAAATGGCAGAACATTAAATAGGAGTAATCTGGCACTTATGGTTTTAACCTACTTGCTTTGCTAGAAGTGGTCTGAGAAAAATGATAGTAGTACATGTCCTATGTATTTGTTAGATATTTTATGGAAGTTGTAGTGAGAAATAGGAAATGACTGTGACAGTTCATTAGGCAAATATTCTTTAGATACCAATAAAATTGACAGTGGTGTCTTGCATACTAGTTAGATATATCTACTAAGGGTACTATCACATATACAAAAATAACAATTGCAGAAGTTACATTATTTACTTAATATTTTCACAGCGTGTGCCATCCAATGCCTCTTGGGAGCAAGCTATGAAAATGATCATAAATGATCCAAGATACAGGTATAATCTATTCTGAATTCTTTTTAACCAAAGTGGGTGTTTTAATAAATTAATGTTCTGCTGTTTGTGTTACTGATCAAGTTGACTTATCTTTAGTAGTGACTTTCATCCTGTAGAAAAGCAGCCGTTGTAAACACTTCTAGAAACTCTTGCCCTGTACATAGGATTAAAATGATTCTTTGAAAAATGGCTCATTGTAATGTCTGTTGTATATATAATTAAATTCTTTTTTTCTCAATTTGCAGTGCTTTGGCAAAGCTAAGTGAGAAAAAACAAGCATTTAATGCTTACAAAGTCCAGACAGAGAAGGAAGAAAAAGAAGAAGCAAGATTAAAATACAAAGAAGCAAAAGAATCTTTCCAGCGTTTCCTTGAAAACCATGAAAAAATGACTTCTACAACCAGATACAAGTAAGATGGATCTGATAATTCTGTTTTACATTTGAAGGGGATTTACACAATTTAT